GCCACCGGGTGCCACTGCACTGGTTCCTTTGGTCTATCATAGGCTACTGAAAATTGTAGGGGTGCCACCGGGTGCCACTGCACTGGTTCCTTTGGAAAAGCACTTTAAAGGTGTCCAAAACTTGCACCTTTGGGGGACGCTAACGCCTCTCTATCGAAGCAGTATACATTTTACCATTTTACCAGAACATCTTTGAAACACCTTCGATTGCACACCTTCCATTTTTTTTGCAGCGGAATATGTGCTGTGCTGAAGTTGAAGTTGAAGGCGAGCGATGCGAGGCGGGGCGAGCCATTCGGAAGAGGTGGGCCGCTGGACTGGACCCGATCGGCACCGGCTCTGGCTCACATGCGCCGGACGCGGCGGCGTGGCGTGGGGGGCACATTATTGGCAGCAGCGGCGCCGGGGCGTGCCCAAGGGGCTTTACTTATTGATGCGAGCAGCATTGGCATGCGGGACCCGCGGGCGTGTTCATACGCGGCTGTATCCGGCCGTGCCGCCGCTCGGTGCACTCTTGGCAAACACGCGTCTTCGACTGAACGTGACGGAGTGACGTAATGACGTTTGTGACGGGGTGACGTTTTGGGACAAAGTGTGACGTTGTTTGTGACGGAGCCCGGTAGGCAGGCGCCTGGCGACTCTCCTAATAGTCAGAGTGTGTGGCGTTTCTCGCTCCCTTGAGTGCTCGCGGGAGAGCGCGATACTGTAAACGCAATCATATCAATCAACCGATGTTCTCAATGATTGATTGTTTATTGGATAGTGATTTTACCGGCGACCATGCCCCTGTTTCCCAGGTGCAAGTTTGACTTTAAAACAAAGCCATACAAGACAATTTACTCCATTTGGGCGATAAACATGGCAACACTAACGTTATTTACAGTGCTGTTTGGGAGACACACTGCACCGACCGTCACGGCTGAGCTGCGCGCTCGCGGGGTGATGGCTGTATGGGCATCGGAATCGGAAGCACCGGTTAGTAGCAGCTTCCGCCGCCGAAGCCGAGGCTGAAGCACACCGGAAAAGAAATGGAGTCGGCAAAGCTAATGTTGTTGTATGGACAAAACACACTCTGAACAATGGAAAGCGCGCTGTGCCACATTCACACGGTTATGGGAACAAAAAAATATATACGGTTAGTTTTGGCTCGAGTTTTGGCAAATGTCGTCACAACCATATTATGTTATGATAAACAATGCGATCGGGGTTGTCACAGCCGAGGGGTCGCCCACTTTCCTGAGCCGTGTACGGAGTATTATATATTATGGGTATTATGAATATTATGGGTATTATGGATATTATGAATAGTATGGGTTATGTGTATTATGAAGTATTTTACAGTATTACATAGTATTATGAATTATTATGTTTGTATTATGGTGCATAATATACATGAAAAAGTCACTTATTACACCGAAATTTTCAAACACGGTAATATCCTTGAAGTTAGGGTATACGCACATGGGGAATAGGTTTTTTAAACACTTGCAACTGCAAAACTGTTGAGTTAAGCAATTCACGTGATAACTGTGAGATGAACACTTACAAGTAATAAAGTTGCAAATGGCTTGACAGTGTTCAGCAAAGTCAGCCCTGCACATAGCAACCGTATAAATCACCTATTGCGCGGCTAGATGTTTAGCTGCATGTGTATGCTGCGAAACCAAATTAAAAAATAAACCTTATAATGATCTAGATTTTGAGATTTTGAGCAGAAAAAACGCATTAAAAACGCATTAAAAAGAGGTCAAGGTGGGCATCGGCTCAAAATAGTAACAAAATTATAGTTTTTGTTATTGCTGGCATATTATGAAAAAATATTAGATATTATGGAGTATTATGCGTATTATGAGAGTATTGTGCGAGTATTATGGAGTATTGTGATTCTATTATGATAGTATTATGGAGTATTATGAGGTATTATGCAGTATTATGATGTATTATGGGTATTATGGGTATTATGAAGTATTATAGTGGTATTATGGGACCGTGTACGGAGTATTATACGAGTTGGCGACCCCTCGGTCACAGCTGATTGAGATGCTCGATGGGTTGGGAGGAGGGCGGGTCTACGTCGATGTCATTCCACCGCCTGTTCCATTAACCTTAAACGGAGCCAGCCACTGAAGCGACGTCATGGTCATGGTCGAGGTCATGGTCACCACCAAGGAGATGGTCGAGTCATTGCCATGGTCACCCCGACCTCCAGACGAAAACACGTGATAACGTTACACGTATTGTTGTTTATTTATGTTGCAGACTTCACAATGGCCATCATCCTGTACGGAGACGAGCTGAGCCCGCCCGTGCGCGCCGTCATGCTGACCTGCAAGGCCCTCGGCATCGACTACGAGTTCAAGAAGGTCAGCCTCCTCAACGGCGACCACCTGAAGCCAGAGTTCGTCAAGGTAGGCAAAAGGGTCAATTATTACTGATGGTTACAGTTATGGCGAGTTCTGGAGTATTTTAAATTAATGTTGTTCCAATTTTTTGTGCAGATCAACCCACTGCACACAGTTCCGACCATCCAGGACGGCGACTTTGTCATCTACGACAGGTAAGACAAGGCACACGACACCTAGTGAATGTAGTCTTTTTCTTTTTGTGAGCTGCGCATTTATTTCGACTGTTTAGCAAGCTTGCGAACTAATAAAAATCCCTCCTTCCGTGCAGCCATGCCATCGCCACATACCTCGCCGACAAGGCAAGCGACGACAGCTGGTACCCCAAGGACATCAAGAAGAGGGCCATTGTGAACCAGCGCCTGCACTTTGACAACGCCATTCTCTTTACCAGGATCAGAGACATGTTGGTGAGTAGAGGGCGCAGTGCAACCTTTGCCGCGACATCATACTAAACATACAGTTCAGAAATTTCGAGGAAACTGATTTATCAGTAAAAGCTCGGAGAGCTCGTGAAGTTTGATGACACTTGAGTTTCCAGAGTGCGGTGCACATACATTGATGTGCAACCAAACAAACAACAAAAAGTTAATTTCAATCCAGGGACCGAATGTATCAAAGCGCACACTACTGCGGTGTTGTGGGTTTGCCTTCCGTCTTGCGCCGCAGGGCCAAGGGCCATGGTGGCGCTTTACCCTCGGGCGTTGCGCTCATGTACACGTACACCAGTACAACTAAACAACTGTACACTCAGTACAACTAAACAACTTTCGATAAAACATGCAAAGGCAACTAAATTTCCCCAACCTAGTTCGCTTCGCAGTTAACAAGAATCGTTAACGTTTTTTTTTTTGTTTCTTCCAGGAGCCTGTCATCTTCAGCGGCCTCTCCGCCTACCAGCCCGAGAAGACCCAGAGGCTGGACGCCGCCCTCGAGCTCCTGTCCAACCTGATCCAGGACGGCGGCTGGCTCACCGGCGACAAGCCCTCCATCGCCGACACCTGCGCCGCCGCCAGCGTGTCCACCATCCTGGTATGTTGGGCCTGCGGTCGAATCCACGTCGAGTCGTTGTTCCCACATCATTTTTGACTATCGCATTTCGCACCGAACGAGATATACCAGGCGGCTGACTCACGCCGCGCACTTTAGTAGTTTATACTACACCGCGTGTAGGGGTGCGGCTGGTTTGCCTACTCGCACGGGGCCATGAGGAGCCGTGGCCAGCGAGGATAGGCAAACCCGCCCGCACCCGTGCATGCGGTACAGTATAGCTACGAAAGTGCGCGGCGTGAATCAGCCAGCTGGTAGAGGTGCGCCGAAACTCGTTCAACCAACGCTGTCGTGCCCGGATTTCTAATCAGGTCTTTCTGTCCTCAGGCTGTCCTGCCCTCCGTCAAGGTCCCCGAGAAGGTGGCAGCGTGGTTCAAGAAGTGCGAACAGGAGCTCCCCGAGTACCAGACCGTGAACAAACCCGGTGCCGACAACCTCGGGGAAATCATGCAGAGCAAGCTGAAAGAGTAGAGTTTAGGTTTTTTTATAAGTCTATATACAAAGTTCCAGTCTGGATTACAAAAAACAACACCTTCTTACGACAATTTATATCTCGAGGAGATAGATCTGACATTTTATCTCGTCAACATAAGTCAAATGTCATCTTGATTTGCAACACACATTGTATCATCAATTTGTTAAATTTTATTTAAATAAAAATATCTGACACCTTTCAGTGAGAAGTTCTTTGTCTGCACTCAACTGTTCCTTTCCTCACCCTTAGATATTCGTTAATTTGGTTTACCCTCCGATGTGGCCAATAGGGGTGGAGGTGGGGGGGGGGGCACACTACTGGTTCGTGGATTTGCGAGGGGAAAGGGAAAACAAAGGCAGGGCTTAATGCCTTTAAAAGGGGTGTTAAATTTTACTGCCTTTGCCATTGCACATAATCAAAGGCATCAAATCTAACACATTTTTCCGGTGCGTAATTTTACTGCCTTTCCAGGCTACTAATTTGTAATCCCGTTGAAGATGCAATATAAACCCGTTCCATCCTACCTTTGTTTTTCCAGTGGGGTCGCGAAGTACCCTATGAACAGCGAGGTACTCCCGAAAGCACCCATGATGTGTGTCATAAAGTTACAATTTGAAGTTGTAAATTTACAAGCACTTCGTTTCGACTTGGAATACAGAGTAGAATATATAATAAATGATAATATAGTCCGGCCAGCCAAAGGTGACGCCTGGCGCATGGGGCAAGTTTACATAACAGGCATCATTTTCTCCGTAAAAAAACAACAACATACAACTTGTGTGTGTAAAAACTGCGCCACTGGAGCATACTAACCTCCAAGAATAACCGGAACAGAACAATTCAATAAATGTCCGGAAACCATCAACTACTTATCCCCTGCGATGAGTATCAAAAAGCGGCGATGTCCACCCTAAAATTCTGATTAGAATCGCATCTTGGGTAGGTATTGTCGGTATTGAGCAGACGACGCCGATTTTCACTTTCTATTTACACTTCCATAAAGGT